ATCACCGAAAGAGTTCATACATACATAGAAAAATATGCCTCAGACAAAACGTAATTTCTATGAAATACTTAATGCCACCTCAAATGCCACACTTGAGGAATTGAAATCAAATTATAAACAATTGATTTTACAATATCATCCCGATAAATTGCAGCAGCAACAACAATTGGAAATTAATCTGAAGAAATTAGAAATTAATAATGAACCTAATAACGTAGAGTTTGTAGCCATAACTGAGGCCTGGAATTGTTTAAAAGACCCTGTAAAACGTAAACAATATGATGCTGAACAATTGTTAAATAAATTTCATACGCATAATAATATTTACGCACACATTAAATTGAGTGAAATGAAAAAACAACTAAATACTGGAGACTACTACTTGCCAGAAGAAGAAAATGATGATGATGATGATGGAGATGGAGAACACAGTCAGAAGGTAAAGGAAAGTGAGGAGGAAACAACTAAATATCTTTATACATATGATTGCCGTTGTGGCGGTCAATATATTGTTGATGAGTCAGCTGAACAATATTGCGGCAGAGCCGACAACAATCAACATCATGATATACAAATCAAAAGCAACCACGACAATAACAATGGTGTTGATGATGATGACGCAGACAAAAGCACCCAAAACAACACAAAAAACAGCCCCAATATAGAGGAAAATAAAAAGAATGCTGATGGTGGTGGTAGTAGTGGTAGTGGTGGCGGCAATACTGCTGATGGTAGTGTTGAAGGCGTTGTTTTCGTTCAACAACACCACAATGAGGGTGATGAGGCGGCAGCAGAGGAGGTTGACGACGAAGGCGGTGAATTGATTGTTGAGTGCAGTGAATGTTCTTTAGTGATAATATTGAATGGCTGAAACAGCAACTTCTTTTTATTTTAATTTTTTGTTTGTTTTGTAAAAGAAATCAATTCTTTTAGTTTTTCGTTTTCTTTAAAAATAATAAAGATTAAGCAATTTTCTGCTGTTTTTTTTTTTTGCTTTAGTTACAATAAAAATATGTATTTTATTATAGTTAAAGCTTTAATTACAAAATAATGCGTTTTTTATGCAAAATCGTGTGGTTTTTCTTTAAATGACTTTATTTTATATGGAAGTATTTGCCAAGTTTAGATGCCTTTACATTATCATCTAAAGTCCTCTGCGAATCTTAAAATTATTCCATATCTTAAACACCAAACAACTCGTTTATAATTTTGGTTTCGATCGTTTTTTTTTCAATTCTTTATTTGTAGATCTAATTTCCAATTTAGACCTAAAAACAGGTTCTAGCTTAGTTCAGTTCAGTTCTAGTTCAGTTCTAGTTCAGTTCTAGTTCAGTTCTAGTTTAGTTCTACTTCAGTTCTACTTCAGTTCTAGTTCAGTTTTAGTTCAGTTCTAGTTCAGTTCTAGTTCTAGTTCAGTTCTAGTTCTAGTTCAGTTCTAGTTCTAGTTCAGTTCTAGTTCAGTTCTAGTTCAGTTCTAGTTCGGTTCTAGTTCAGTTCTAGTTCAGTTCTAGTTCAGTTCTAGTTCAGTTCTAGTTCAGTTCTAATTCAGTTCTAGTTCAGTTCTACTTCAATTCTAATTCAATTCTAGTTCTAGTTCAGTTCTAGTTCAGCTCTAGTTCAGTTCTAGTTCAGTTCTAGTTCAATTCTAGTTCAGTTCTAGTTCAGTTCTAGTTCAGTTCTAGTTCAGTTCTAGATCAGTTCTAGATCAGTTCTACTTCAGTTCTAGTTCAGTTCTAGATCAGTTCTACTTCAGTTCTAGTTCAGTTCTAGTTCAGTTCTAGTTCAGTTCTAAATCAGTTCTAGTTCAGTTTTAGTTCAGTTCTAGTTCAGTTCTGGTTCAATTCTAGTTCAGTTCTAGTTCAATTCTAGATCAGTTCAGTTCGGATCTAGTTCAGTTCTAGTTCAGTTCTAGTTCAGATCTAGTTCAGTTCTAGTTCAGTTCTAGTTCAGTTCTAGTTCAGTTCTAGTTCAGTTCTAGTTCAGTTCTAGTTCAGTTCTAGTTTAGTTCTACTTCAGTTTTAGTTCAGTTTTAGTTCAGTTTTAGTTCAGTTCTAGTTCAGTTTTAGTTCAGTTCTAGTTCAGTTCTAGTTCAAGTTCAGTTCTAGTTCAGTTCTAGTTCAGTTCTAGTTCAATTCTAGTTCAGTTCTAGTTCAGTTTTATTTCAGTTCTAGTTCAGTTTTAGTTCAGTTCTAGTTTAGTTCTAGTTCAGTTCTAGTTTAATTCTAGTTCAGTTTTAGTTAAATTCCAATTAAATGTAGTTCTATTTTAGTTCTCGTTTAGTTCTACTTCAGTTCTAGTTTCTACTTGACTCATATTGTGATCTATTAGTCACCGGTTTTAAAATATCTAAATTTTAATATATTTTAACGATAAACTTTAAATCTTAATGTTAACCTCCTTAGTTTTAAATGCTAAAGCAACACGTAATAAATATTACTATTTAATATATTTTGCAAAAAATTAACATTTTCGATCGAATATAAAATTGCACTATAACACGTTTTGAATTAATGCAACTTCTCGAACTATTATAAATAATATAAATTTAATAAAACAACATTTTAAGATAGAAATATTAGTTTTAATATAAATTTTGATTCCTCAAAGTTTTAAAGTTTATTTTGAAAATGCATAAGTTTGCAATTTCATATGATATAGTTATTTTCTAGGTCAAAACTAAAACGATTTTAGGATTTTAATATAATTTTTTTCCAATTCAATTTCTCACCCAATTTTTTTCAAACAAACAAATGTTAATTGAAATTACATAATAGTATTGAAATGTAATATTATAAAAAAGAAAAATTGGCATAATACCCAAATGACCACCATAAGGGCGTGTCTAGATTACTGATGTCAAACGTTTTTGCGTTATTCCTTTACGTTACTGTTGTTATTTGAAGAGAAGCCGTCTTTGTCATAGATGACATTACAACAAATTTCGTATAAATTTCAATGTAGTACTTAACAATTTCCGATTGTCTTAAAAAGACACAAAGCCTCAGAGAATGAGTAGTTAAAAAGAGCTGGTAAACAAGACTTGAATATTTAAATATAAAACTGCAAAACTGAATATAATTAAATATAAAAAACACGTATTTTTCACAAAATAAACGGACAGAAAACATACAATAATAAAACAAAATAAATAAATTGAAATAGTTTTAATAAAATCTAGATTAATTTTTTTTTTTTCAAAATTAAAGCCAAAAATTTTTACAGAAAACTTAAAACTTGAAAACGGAAGTTAAACTTAAACAATTTTACAATATTTGTAAAATAGAAAGTATATTGTTTTAATAATAATAAACAAATTAAAGTAAAAAAATTTCTTTAACCGATAAGAACTATTTTTTATATATAAATTACTATATAAAGAAATTATTTACATGTCTTAGATTTGAGCTAGAAGATGATGATGTTGATGATCGTGGTGGTTATTGTGTATAATAAATTACTATTTCTTTAGATTTAATTTAAATTGATAAGGTAAAAATACAATAAAACTATAAGTAATAATGTTAATAAAAAAATAATTCTTTTTCAAATGAATCATTAATGATTTTTATTAAGAAAAAAATGGCGTTAATAAAATTGATTTTATAGTTACGAAGATCACAGTATTTTGATAATCTAAGATCTGTAAATACATCAATCCTAGATCAGTGTAAAGCTATTGTTTAACCTCAATTGTAGGTCATAATTGACTTCTATAGCTGGATTAGTCCTTTAAGTCCCAAATTTTATGGTATCGTTAACAATGATCATAGATCATTATATCGCTTTAGTTTAAATAGTTAAAATTTTGCCCCAACTGTTCAATTTAACATCGTTTATTGATCTTAATACATTTTTTAAAAAATAAGCATGGCAACGATTTACTTTAAACTCAGAAAATTTTTAATGAAATTTTATACAAAAATTACTTATTCTAACTTTAGCTGCGAAAAGTGAATGTCACAAAAACAGTGAATTTTAATTTAGCTTTATTGCAATGGAGCAACAATTGTCATTTGAATAATTAGAATTTGGGTTGCGAATTAAATATTTATAGCTTTGAAGTTTTATTTAAATACTATTTAATAGAGTTATAAAAAGTTTTAGTTTTTAGCAGAACTTCCTGCAAGAGTTCTGCTAACGTGTTTAACGGAATTATTCAGTTCTACATCAATTCTAGTTCAGTTCAAAATCATTTCTAATTCAGTTGTAGTTCAGTTCTAGTTCAGTTGTAGTTCAGTTCTAGTTCAATTCTATATCAGTTGTAGTTCAGTTGTAGTTCAGTTCTAGTTCAGTTCTAGTTCAGTTCTAGTTCAGTTCTAGTTCAGTTCTAGTTCAGTTCTAGTTCAGTTCTAGTTCAGTTCTAGTTCAGTTCTAGTTCAGTTCTAGTTCAGTTCTTGTTCAGTACTAGTTCAGTTCTAGTTCAGTTCTAGTTCAGCTCTACTTCAATTCTAGTTCAGCTCTAGTTCAGTTCTAGATCAGTTCTAGTTCAGTTCTAGTTCAGTTCTAGTTCAGTTCTAGTTCAGTTCTAGTTCAGTTCTAGTTCAGTTCTAGTTCAGTTCTAGTTCAGTTCTAGTTCAGTTCTAGTTCAGTTCTAGTTCAGTTCTAGTTCAGTTCTAGTTCAGTTCAGATCTAGTTCAGATCTAGTTCAGTTCTAGTTCAGTTCTAGTTCAGTTCTAGTTCAGTTGTAGTTCAGTTCTAGTTCAATTCTATATCAGTTGTAGTTCAGTTCTAGTTCAGTTCTAGTTCAGACCTAGTTCAGATCTAGTTAAGTTCAAAATCAGTTCTAATTCAGTTGTAGTTCAGTTCTAGTTCAGTTGTAGTTCAGTTCTAGTTCAATTCTATATTAGTTGTAGTTCAGTTCTAGTTCAGTTCTAATTCAGTTCTAGATCAGTTCTAGTTCAGTTCTAGTTCAGTTCTAGTTCAGTTCTAGTTCAGTTCTAGTTCAGTTCTAGTTCAGTTCTAGTTCAGTTCTAGTTCAGTTCTAGTTCAGTTCTAGTTCAGTTCTAGTTCAGTTCTAGTTCAGTTCTAGTTCAGTTCTAGTTCAGTTCTAGTTCAGTTCTAGTTCAGTTCTAGTTCAGTTCTAGTTCAGTTCTAGTTCAGTTCTAGTTCAGTTCTAGTTCAGTTCTAGTTCAGTTCTAGTTCAGTTCTAGTTCAGTTCTAGTTCAGTTCTAGTTCAGTTCTAGTTCAGTTCTAGTTCAGTTCTAGTTCAGTTCTAGTTCAGTTCTAGTTCAGTTCTAGTTCAGATCTAGTTCAGATCTAGTTCAGTTCTAGTTCAGTTCTAGTTCAGTTCTAGTTCAGTTCTAGTCCAGTTCTAGTTCAGTTCTCGTTCAATTCTCGTTCAATTCTCGTTCAATTCTAGTTCAGTTCCAGTTCCGTTTTAGTTCAGTTCTACCTCAGTTCTAGTTCAATTCTGCTTCTATTCTAGTTTAGTTCTAGTTCGGTTCTAGTATAGTTCTAATTCAGTTTTAGTTCAATTCTAATTCAGTTCTTTTTCTGTTCGAGTTCATTTCTAGTTCAGTTCGAGTTCAGTCCGAATTCAGTTGTAGTTAAGTTCTAGTGCAGATCGAGTTCAGTTATAGTTCAGTTCTAGTACAATACTAGTTCAGTTCTAATTTAGTACTAGTTCATTTGCAGTTTATTCTAGTTCAGTTAAATTTTAGTTCAATTTTAGTTCTAGTTCTGACATTAAACATGCTAATTGCAAGAGGGCTAGTGGTATGGCTTTCGAACAATATCAACTTTGATAACCGTGATGACTCACTGAAATTGGAAATATCTGACTAATACAGGGATTCACTTTAAAAATTTAAGAATTATTTTATGTAAATGAATGAAATATTTTCATAATAATTTCGTTTCCTAATTGCTGTAACTGATATATAAATTAAGTAAGTATGTAGTTGATAAAGTAAAGATGTTTAAGGGAAATCACCATAATCAACAAAAGAAGATTGAAATAATTTCACCATTTGCTCAACAAAAAATGCACTAAACTATT